GGGGTAGTAGTCAGTGTGACTGTAGCAGGATTGCGTGCGCCCGCCAGAGAAGATGTTAAATCGACCCCAAGCCCATCTTCAAAGCCCCGGCTTTGGCTTCCAATCCAGTGCATGCGTAGATGTCGCAGGGTTTGGGATTTGGCCGGGAGCCTTTGCAGCTCAAGAGAAGATCGGGCCCTCAGCCCATTCTCCGAGGAGGTTGTTGGGTTGACGGTTGTCTGAAGGCTTTCTTTTTTCAGAGTGTTTAGTTGGAAAGCTTACCATAAGGGTTGCTAACCCTAAACCCTTAACCCTAAACCGTTTGGAAGCTTTAGGGTCAAGGGTCGTGCCAACTAGTAGCTTTTTGCTGGACGTGACGGTGACGTCCTATCTGATGCCGGTTAACATAACTAAGCCTTAAACCCTAAAAAAGAAGTCAAGCTCGAAGAACCCTAAACCCTAAACCTTTCCCTGGTTATGGGGGGGAGAGCACGGTGTGGCCTAAAGCGGCGGCACCGCATCTCCCAGATCCGAATCCGGCTCAAGTCCGCGAAACGCCTCATTGGGCGAGGGACACAGCAGAGAGGGGCCAGCATTAGGCCGTCTCACTTGTCCTACGTTCCGAACGAATACACCATGCGATCTCACGCAGGCTTTCGCCTGGACAATCTGTCTCAGACAGCAATTGGATCGCCTCAAAAGTCGGCTGCAAAGCGGGAATCCGCGGCCTGTACAGCAACCCTTTCCGAGCCTGGGACTCGCCACACAACTTTAGACAATGGAGCTTGTGATGACGCGGACTCGGCCACACCGACAACTTGTTTCGTTTGCGAATGGCCTCAACGCTAGCCACCAGTTGCACCGTGAGTTCCCTTGTCACCGCCGGCAGCAGAACTCCAGCAGATTCCAGCAAACTCACCCACTGCCGATTTGTGCCCTCCTTTATGCTGACCGGAGGCAAGCACCCCGTAGTGACCACGAAGTTCACCAAGAGCTCATGGTAGGTGATTCCGGCATAGGAGCGATCAGCAGGGAGACCAGTGGGCCAGGCGAGGGAACTCAGCCAATTCTCCAAAGCATCCGTGTACCAAGAAGGCCACTCACTGTGGTTCTGGGCCCACCCTGCAGGAAGAAGCACTGAAACAGAGGCAAAGGCGGGCAGGGGCTGGAGGCCACACCAGCACTCTGCGGTAGGTGAAGACTCCATCTCCTGTGCCCGAGCAAGTTCCAATTTTTTCAGGTTTCGCCGGGCCGGAACCACAACCTGTGTCAGCTGAGTCAAATACTGGCAAAAAAGCCGGAAATTCTCCATTTGAGTGCAGCGCCAGGTGGCGACCCTTTCACAGGTTTCATGCGCGATGCCAATGTCCTCTTGCAAAGCCCGCTTAGCAATACCGTCAGCGATGTCGTTACCCAGCGCTTCAAAAGAAGGCCCACTCTGCACCGTGGTTGGCGACGGCCGCAAATTTTGGTGAGCCTTGACCTTACAGGCCGTGGCGCCACTCTTCAACTGCTCAATGTCCGCAGGTATCAGATCCGTGCAGAATAGCAAATCCCGCGGCATAGAGCAGCAGCTGGAAGCACAAGATAGAGCACGTAGAGCAAGGGTGGAGTCCGACCACAGCACTGATTCGGTGATTTGCAGGCAAGCTCCGACTTGCAGGGCCTGGATCAAAGCACAGAACTCCGCCCTGTTGATGTCCTGGCGGCCCGGCACACCACCCTGGGCGACCACGTGCCAAAAAGGGGGAGGAAGCCCATGTTGCTTCCAGAAAGCAATGTCGGCCTCGATGTCTGGTGAACAGGTGCCAGCATACATAATCACGGCCCACGCCGCATGTCGGGCGGCCGGAACCCCTGGCCAATTGCACGAGCCATCAGTGAAAAAATGGACCTGCTCCGGAAGGCGAGCCCGAAGAGAAGGCGGCGGTTGGGGCGCAATCCATCGCCGAGAAGCCCAGAACAGCCTTAAGAAACCCTCATCTTTGTGTGCCGTTGGAAAAGGGCAATGCAACCAGTGTGGCTGCTCCTGCACGACCCAGTCAAGCAGCGGCTGGAAGAGGCGTCTCAATCCAGCTGTGGCATGACACTCCAGGAGGCGATGGGTCTTGCTGTCCAAACCTCCACACAATTCACACCTAGGGCACTGGAGAGGGTCCCAAGTGGCGCGTGCAGCATTAGACATAAAGCCGCCCACAATGCTTTGCGCCAGATGAACCTGCTGGCCAGCGGAAAACATTGCCAAAACCTTATGACAAATGTCCGGAGCAGGGCAGGAGGCTTACGCCATTCCATTTCGATCCCGCACCTTGTCAGGAACTTGGTCCAACCAGGCCGTACGGATGGCCAAGCGGATGACTCGCGGAGGATCCGTGTAGAGATTGAAGGTGGCATGGCCCGGGCCTTTGGCAACCCCCGCCGGACTGATCCGCCAGTCGTTTCTCCGGAGCATAGCAGCCAATGCTGTAGCGGGGCCAATGACCCTCTGATCGGCATCAATGGCAGAGACAGTCACCTTCAGCCAGCGGGTGGCGAGATCTGGGCGGCAAAAGCTCATGCGCTGGAGAGCCAAAACTGCTTGGCTGAGCAGAAAAACCTCGGGGTCGGTCACCTGTGGTGTCAGGGCAGACAAAGTAAGGAAAGGATTGGCGCTAGGGCGGTCACCAAGCATGGCGCGGGAGGCAGCTGTACGCAACTTGCCAACCTGATCAGCACTGAGGAGGCGAGCCTCGAAGCCATAGAAGGTCGCTGGCCAAATGCTGGTTTGAAGCAACCGTGCCTTTTGAAGCAGGGCAACCCCCGGGCGCTGCAAGGATTGGAGGCGCCGGTGCCCTTCAGACAAACGTTTGGAGGATGCGTCCAGGCTGTTGATTCTGCGGAACTTGAAGGCAACACCCAGGTCCTTGGCATTGGTGACGACCGACAGTTGTGCTCCGTCTGGTAACAGGCGTTGGGCGGGCCCCTTGAGCCAGACCCTGAGCTTCTTGTCTGTGGCCCACGCAAAGGACTTGGTCCAATCAATGGGCAGGGAAAGGGAAGCACAGAAGTCCTGGGCAGTGAGCAGGGCCTCGGCAAGGGAAGCAATGGTGCTGCCGGTCCACGTAAAATTGTCGACATAGGAGGAGTGCCGTGCTCCGAAACTCATGTGATGCTCGTGTGCGGCCCAGCATACCGCGACCTGGGCAAGCGCTGACAGCGGACAACCCTCAGGCATACCTGTGCAGGAAAGAACAGGAGGCCCAATGGAGCCGTGGAAGACCGGCAGACGGTGACAGTTATCTAACCAGTCAAACCAGGCATGTAGGACGTCTTCTGGCACGCCCAAATGGGCCAAGAGGTAGCGCAGCGGCACCCTCGGGAGCTGGTTGAAACATTTCACCACATCAATCGAGAAGCCACCTAGGGGTGAGGCCTGCAAAAGATGCTGTTCAATTTCGCACTCCAGCGCAAGGGACAAGTCGCGGACAGACCGGCCTGGGACACTTCCCATCACTCCTCTTGGCAGCCAAGAGGCCCATTGGCGCAGAATGGCTGTTGCCAGCCCGGAGGCCCAGAAGCGGTACAGGTTAGCAAAGACTGTTATGGGACGGCCATGCTGCATGCTCAGTGGCTGCTGGACCTTGGCTAACGTACTCACCGTCGCCCTTGCAAAGTGCTTGGGCCAGCCGTGCTTGGAACAGAGCACAAAAAGGCGCACGAGATCCTCCAAGGGTGCTTGAGGGAGCCAGCGAAGTTCCTGGTTAGAAAACCCGCAGTAGCCCGTTGCAGAACGAGGCTTGAGGCGACGCAAGTGTTGCTGCCAGAAATCAGGGTCCTGCAATTGGAGCCGAAGGCCAGCTGATGCGGCTGGGGGCTCTGGCAAAGACTCCACAAAAGTAGCCCAAGGATCCAAGTTCCGAGCAGCGGCTCCCTGGTCACGGTTCCAAAGAGGATGCCAGAAATTGGTGAAGCTCCTGTGAAGCTCACGAGGGGTAACGGCCTCTGTATCCTGGCAAATGACGCATTTAGCAGGGAGGGGCGAGCGCCCGAAGTGAAGCCAGAGTCTTGGGCCGAAAACCTCATCTTGCTGGCAGCTGCCAACCAGAACAGGCAACTCATCAGCGACAGCAGGGCAGCCCTGTTGAAAAAACTCGGGCGCCGGAGCCCGGAAAAGACCCCACCCTCCTAGTGCACAACATTCCAGTGAAGCCTGCTGGCATTCCTTGACAGGAATGGATGTGAAAGGTGGATTGTCAAGGTTTCGCAGGGAGCGATAGGCTTGTCGAAGGCCCGTGGCGGCATCCTGGTCATTTAGATATGACCACAGTTGTTTGCGTTGCTGCTGCTCCTGGCGCACAACTGCGTCGCACTCAAATCTGACAAAGTCACAGACATCACTGAGCCATGGCTCCGGTGGCAAGGAATCAAGCTGGCGCAAAGCACTTGATGACGATATCAACTCCGCCGGCCCAACTGCTGTGACAAAGTAAAAGGCATCGAAATGCGCAACCTGTAAGAGCCATTGGCAGAAGGAGGGCGGGTAGCCCCTGGCATTCTCAATCGCATGCCACTCACAGCAGAGAGAATTGACAAGGCAGTCCGAGGGTGGTTGAAGGCCAGCCACTGCACGTACGGAAACCAGGCGTCGGCGAAAAGACTGGAGGCGGCGTACCTGCTTAACCTTGTGCCTGGACCGATGGGAAAGAGCCTCGTCCGGCGGGTTATATTCGCCACATCTGGCATTTGGGGCCGTGAGCGGCAACGCCTGTTGTTTGACCTCCCGATATGTACACCTGCCCTTGGCTCGACGAGGCAACCGTGCAGCGGGTTGACGAAGAGGGTCCTCAGCATGAGCCTGGCCAATGGCCGCGTCAACAGAATCCTCGATCACAGTGGCCCACTGATGAAAGGCAGTATCAAGCTCATCACGGGAGGAGCATCCAAGCAAACTATCACCGACACAAGCACGCCGACGGAGGTAGTGGCTTTGCACAAGCTCGGCAGCTGGCTCATACTTCATCCAGCTGTCTGGTTTACGCCAGACCTGTTTACACGGATTGTGCTGGGGCAGAGAAAACTCAAGCACCACTGGCGCATGTGAATCGAAAAGCTGGCAGGTATCATTAACCATCGCCGTTTGCAACAGAGTCTGGAAGACCGGCGGCAGGAGAACCGAATCATGGCGTGTGCTGCCGCGACAGGTCGGTGACAAAGTCTTCCCAAAGCGGCTGCGGCAAAATGAAAAAAGCTCGGCAAAGCCCAACTTGACGAACTCAGGCCAACAGGGCAGTGAGGTCACATCCATATTGAAATCGCCGCCAATAAGGGTTGGCAGCGGCGAGCAGGCAACCGCCTGTAGAACTTCTCGGAACAAGCACTCATTTCGGTCCTTCGCAGCCGTATGATTTGCCGGCCACCCGTACACCACAATGAGTCGCGCATGCATTGGGCCAACACGCACATGACCGAGCACAAGGCGGTGGGCCGACACTCCAGTACAGATCCAGGGATCGAAGGGGGCGCGTACTGGGAAAAGCGAAGCAATGGCCACCCCTGCAGCGTGTCCACGCATGGAGCCAGTTGGCGCCCGTTCCGTCTGGTGCGCAGGAACTGGTTCGCCCCAAACCCACGCAAAGCCGGCTTGATGGAGGCGCCGACGAACAACCTGCTGGGCCCTATCGACCGCCGAAGTCTCAGAGAGGAGACAAATGTGACATTGCAGTGCCACCAGATGAGGCTCCTTATTCAGCACACTGGTGGGATTGACGACCGCAAGGCGGAAAAAGGGGTCTGAGGTCTCTTGTGTGCAATGCAGAGAAGAGGCAGACGGAGCAGCGGCCGCAGGTACAGTCAGCTCCTGGGCAGGAAAATTGGGGCTACTGCCAAAATAGTGCGGCAGGCAAGAGCGGGGGTCAGGGCATCCGCCATCAGGGCGGGGAAGCACACGGGGGGGAAAGACACCCGGACAAGCTGGCACGGCCTGAGCAAGAGAGGGGCATCGAAAGGCAGGGAGACAAGGACCGCAGGGCCTATTGGCATCCGGTGGTTGAGGCCCATCGACCGCCTCCGAGGGTCCAGGATTGAGGGCCTCGCCGAAACGAAAACCCCGGGAGAAAGCATGATCGAGCTGCAACCGAGGGCGGCAGCATAGGAACGGTGCGGCGGCAAAGAGCCGGGGGATCATGGAAGTTGGGCGGGTCATGTGCCAACACCCTGGTGAGCGACGCAGCGTAGCATGGTGGCCAGTAGTGGCGTCACTCAGCACGAAAAGAAACTGAAAAGGAACAGGTCCACCACCCCTGGGACCGTGATGTCTTCGGCATGAAGACGAGACGAACACATCTAGAAAAGCAACACTTCGGTTGCGGAATGCCTGCAGTCTGCCATGAGAGGCCGCACCCAAGGGCACAGACACACTGCAAGGCGAGCCCCAAAAAACTAGAAGCCGTTGTGAGAGGCCACCACGGAGTCAAAGCTCCGGGTCCCCCGTGGTCTTCGCTTTCTTGGATGATTCTCGATTGTCACGGCAAGACAACATCAAGCACTTCAGCTCCTCGAGGCTGGCCTGCGTTTGCTGCTGCTGCTGAAGCTGGGCACCTTTCAAGGATTCAACCAACAGTCGCAGCTGACTTGCAAACTCATTGCCCATGAGACTCATTTGATCACGTAGTTGACCCGCGGTTTTGGTGGAGGCCTCCCTATCATCTGCCTGCGCCTGCACCAATTCGGCATGGTTGGACTCCTGTCGCACCTTGAGCTGCTCGAGTCCCTCCTCCAATGCAAGTAGGCGCGACTCCTGTGCCTGAAACCTCTGCTCTGTAGGGCCGGCCAGGGACCGGGATGGCGCCTCAGTGGGGGTCGAGGAAAGGGAGGGCCGACTCGTGAAGCTGGCACCGGACTGGGAGCCGAATGCCGCCGCCCGCCATGGATCAAAGTTCTGCCAGGGATCATCAACCTTGATAGAGGCGCCTGGTGTGGCCTTCGCTGAAGGGCCGGCCGAGGGAGGGCCAGGCGGGGCCCGGGGCCCCAAGTTTCCGGACTGGACGATTGGCGGTGACGCCTGGCGCGGGCCCACTGGTGAGATTAAGAGCGTCTGGCCGTTAAAGGCAGGATAAACCTCAGGCGGTGCCGTGGAAGCGCCCAGCAGCCAATGCCGAGCGCCTAAGCTTTTCATGACGCGAACCTGCCATCCCGCGCGCGAGGCCCAGTCAATGATTGCATCTGTACTCACCGCTTGCGGGAGCGGCCCAACCCTGAACAACTGATTCACCGCCACTTTACTCGGAACCACCTGGCCTGGCCTGAGGTTGGCAAAGATGGCCGGGAAACGTGCCGCAGGGACTCTCAAGCCATAACGGTTTTTGGCCCGAACAAGCCCTAGCTGTTCAGGCGTCTGCAAGGAAGCCCGCACCGCATCTGCCCGTGAGGCACCGGACCATACAATGGCATATGCTTGGACAACTGTCCTGTCAATGTTGCGTGGGGTGCAGTACACATGGTTGTGGCCGCTTGCAATGAGGAGAGGGTCAAGAGACTCCGACAAAACACGGGCCTGAAAATAGACCTTGTCAGCGAGGGAAGCAAGGGCAGGCCTGCCATTCAGAGAAAAGCTGCGCCCCCAAGGATCCGAAAAAGGCTTGTCCAGTCCACTTTTCTTGAAGCGGTCCATGACGGCACGCACCGGGGCTTGTGTGAGAGAAGCCCATGTCTCTGCCTCAAATTCATCGGCATAGCACTCGAAAGCACAGCAACACATCTCCGGCAAATCGACTTTGATGTCGCCAGTGTTCTTTGTGCGAACCTGCTTCCCACCGAGGTTGTGGAGACACCCAGCTAAAAGCAAACGCGAACCGTTGGCCCGGGAAGTGGCAGGAAAGCACAGCTGTCCATTACAATCGTCCGGGCAAGGGCAGGAGTGGCCGAGCACCAGTAAACCCAGCTCATCCGGTTGGACGCCTCGCAGGGTTTGAATCAAAGCATGTGCCTCAGGCTCACTAACCAGCTTGATGCCTGACACCCCTGGGCGGATGTCATCGAGGATGGTGGTCGGGGTATTGTCTTCGTTGACAAAGAACTCTGGTGCGAGACAGACATCCTCTGCCTGGACCTGGCGGCGATCCTGGTTCTTGCGGCGTTGCACGGCTTTGGTGGCCCGATGAGCCGCCTTGGCTTGCAGATTGCACCCCTGAGGTACCGCGATCTTAGCACCTTCCGCCAAGTCAACAATGGCCTGCCAACGATCAGAAGTGGAGGAATCCTGCAGACACAAAGAGAGACGCTGGGCACCGACTGCTCCGGAGAGCTGGTCCACAAAGGTCGTAGTGCTGTTGAGGTCCAATCCATTCGAAAGGCACAAGGAAGCTGTGCGGGTCTGGGCCCAGCTCAAATTCTCAGATTTAACCCCCCCGCCTCTAACCTCGGGATGAACCGTGATGAGCAAGCGGCCTGAGCGCCGTACCACACATTCCTTGGGGCTTTGGCGAAGCTCGCGCAGCGGAATGGAAGGCAGGTGCGGGTGGGGTCCTGAAAAGATGCGGTGGCCGTCGCCAAGGCCACAAACAGCACTAGCCTGGCGCCAGAACCCAGAGATGACCTCCAGAGTGGTATCAGCTGGGAGGGAGCCCGTCCAGAGACATCTGGCAACAACCTGAATTTCAGACGCAATGGTGTCTCCTTTGCAGGTGGCAGCAAGCTCGTCGAGCTGCGCCGTTAGCAGCCACAACCGCCACTGATCATGCATCAAATCAACCGGCATGCCAGGCTGGCGCACCTGTCTGAGCTTAAGGCACGAGGGCGCAGGATGCAAAGGCGGGAAATTGTCCTCTTCAGAGAGCCAGCCCATGGCATGCACTAGATGGAATGGCATGGCAAGCCAGACATCCAAGGCGACGTGCGCCTGTACCTGCACCTGCAGTTCATCATGGCTCCTAGACACACACAGGCCATGCAGGGAAGAGGCCAACCGACGCAGCGGGAAGATCGGCAATTCGTCATCTTCAGCGGCCGCAATCATGCAAGCCGAGAACTGTTCCTCCGCAAAGAGACGCTGCCCTGTGGTTGCGAACAGCGCCAAGGAGCCAGTTTCAGGCACAACCATCTGGGAGACACTAAGAAGCTGGGACCATGACCTGGCGGTCCGGAGCTCGACAACAAAAGCCCGCTCATCAGACAAGATCAGGGCCATGCCAAGTGGCGCACCGCCGGTGTACATGAAACCTCCACAGTTTAATGTCGGGACCTGCTGCGCGTGCACCGTCATGGCCTGGAGGCCATCGCACAAGCTGTTTGTCAACTTCGGGAGGACCTCTGGACACCCAAGAAACCCAAAGAAAGATCCCACATCACAGTCGGGCGGCGCCAGAACCCTGAAATCCCTGTCCGGGGCTTGAAGCAGGATTTCCACAAAAGCCTCGGGAGCAGGCGCACGCAGCGACCGCGGACACATGAGGCCTTGCGCATGGAGGACCTGGTGCATCTGAGATTTATGACACAGTACCCAATCCTGACCGAAAGGCATCAGCAAGGAATTATCTGCGTGCAACCGAGAGCGAAGGCACATTGCAACCGCTGCGGCGGGCTCAGGTGCATCGTGAAGTCCTAACAAGGAGCACCCGCAGACCAAGGGGACCATAGCATGCGGAACAGCGATGCCATTGCCCAACAATCGCATCTGCGTGCGCTGATCAACCGACAAGAAGATGGGCGACGCAGCTCCGTGAATCGCTGCTATTTCCGGGCCTGCAAAAAACCTCACCAGGCCCGACTTGCGTAGCAAACAGCCATGTATGCCTCGCTGCAACTGCGCCGGTGGCAGCTCATGCTGGAACTGATACATCGCAACGAACACCCCTGCAACATCTGTGGCCGTCCTGACGCGGTACTTTTCAGGTGCCTGCGGGGAGCAATTCGCCTGTCTGGGGGCAGGGACGTACCACGGATCCATATACATTTCAAGGGCAGCTGCATCCGGGGTGTTAGCTGCAAGCAGCGGAGGGGGAAGGTCAAACAGGACTCTGGCTTGGCCCAGATTCATCCGTTTGCTAATGCTCCATGAGTTGACCTGCAACTGCTTGGTGTTGGCATGACCGCGGTGCTGCAGCACCATCAGGAATCGCTGCCGCTGGCCAGGCAGTATGTCTAACAGGTTTAGCGTGGCTTGCCACTGCACAGAATAACCTGCGAGACTCCAAGCATGCATCACTGCTGCGAAGTGCGGGTGGGTTGCAAAGTTGGCCACCTGTTCAAGCAACACAACCGGTACGCGGAAAAAGCCTGCAATATCCGCGGCACGAAGCAGAAGCCTGCCATCGTCAGAGTGCAAGCCTTGCTCACTGCCTGCCGACGACCAGGGCTGACAAGGGGCAGACACACAGACTACATTAACCGGCCTCAGCTGGAAAACCCTCAACCACCAGTTTGTCTTGATGTCAGCGCACAAGTGAAGCATCCCCTCATCCTCGACTGAGCAAAGACCCTCGAGATCAGAAACCTCCTGCCACTTCTGGTGCTGGTGTCGGAGCATGTCCGAACAGGCCGGATCCACATCAATGGACCATGAGGCCTGCACCGGAAGACCTGCTGTATGCAGAATGTACGCAGCCTGGCTCCAACCCGAGAAACCACCCGAGAAGAATTCGGCCATGCGCACACAGGTGTCACTTTCCAAGCTGCAACTGGTAACCACCACTGAAGAAGGCCCTGTACAGTCCAGCATGTACTGTTGTTGCTGCATGCACAAAGTCGCTGCAATGATCTGAAGCGGTCCGTTACGCTGAGAAACCGCAACCCAGTCCGCTCGCCGCAATACCAGAACTACCTTCTGTGCAGTCGCGGGGTCCGGCACCTCGTCCGACGAGACTGCAATGTATGCCCTGATCAAGACTCGGTTTTCCTGAAGGATTGGTTCCTCGAACGGCGTTGCAAGAATGTTCACAAGCTCACCCGTCAAACCCGGATGTAAGGACTTAGCAACATGTTGCAGTCGATTCCAGTTGTACAACAAGTGATCATAGTTGGAATCAGTCATGGCTCAATTGGTATCCCTCTACACGAGAGACGACGGCACTGCCCCGTGTAGGCCTGAGCCGAAGTGCTCCTAAACCCTAAACCCTAAAAACTAAACCCTGAACCCTAAAACGGAAACCTAAACCCTAAACCCTAAGAAGGAAACCCTAAAAACTAATAAACCCTAAAAAGGAAACCCTAAAACTAAACCCTAAACCCTAAGAAGGAAACCCTAAAACTAAACCCTAAACCCCTAAACCCTAAACCCTAAACCCCAAAACCCCAAAACCCCAAAGAAGTATGCACTTCACTTAAGCCTGAATCCCGAAGCCGAAGCCGAAGCCGAAGCCCCATCCCTAAGGGTCCATGTACCCAAATAGTAGAACATTGGCCTTAATGTAGTCCCTATATGGGTACTTTAGCCAATGTTCTACTATTTGGGTACATGGACCCTTAGGGCATGATTTTCGGCTCAAGCCTTCTCGGGTCATGTAGGGGCCTGCCTAACTACTTACGAATACTACTATGTTGGGGGTTCCTTGCCATTTTGGGCCTTTGGAGTTTAGGGTTTAGGGTTTGGCTTGTATGCCTCAAGCCTTCCCCATAAGTTTGGGGTGTAGGGTTTAGGGATGGTCAGGGTATAGGGTTCGGGTTTAGGGTTTAGGGTATAGAGTTTAGGGTTTAGGGTTGTTTGGGTTTCATTATATCTGGGCCCAAAGACCATACGACATAAGGCTTTTGGGGCTATGTTGAGCCCTTAGGGTCTAGGGTACTGGTTTGGATATTACGGGAGCCCAGAAGGCCCAAGAAGTACCCACATTCTAGGGCTTTAGGATTTAGGGTTTAGGGTTTAGGTCCCAACTTCCATTCTCTGAAAGGTTTTTGGTATTTTAACTACCCTGCCATTTGGTTACCGGGTTGTTTTTTGGATTCTCGCAATTTACGGGCTGAGGGTTTATGGCCAGGGTTTGGTTTGAGGGTATGTTTGCGACTTGATCGGACAAGGCTCGCTGTTGCTATACCCTGACCATCCCTAGACCCTACACCCCAAACTTATGGGGAAGGCTTGAGGCATACAAACTAAACCCTAAACCCTAAACTCCAAAGGCCCAAAATGGCAAGGAACCCCCAACATAGTATTCGTTATTAGTATTGTCGTATTCAGAGAGCAGGGGGCCCCAATAAAGGTCGTAGATGGTAGGATCCTTACCAGAACTGGGCTTCGGAGTACCATACTTTGATACTTTTTTGGGGGACCTGTTCCTTAAAGGAACCATTATAGAATAGAAGTCTATACTTTTTTCTCCCTGGTTACTTCAAAGCCCAGAGAAGGATCACATAGTGAGGCACCCCCCCCAATCGAAATTCTTGAAGCCTTCACTGCGCAATGCACTCCGAGGCCATCTCCCAAATCAGTTTCGGTTCACAAAGCTGGACCATAAGGGTCTGTAGCAATTAGCCATGGATCCTCTTCGTTTCTCGCAGGTTGAGAGGAAGCTCGCAGCTCCGCGCTCGGCATGCGTCGAAGACCCCCCGAACTCCCTGACCCCTAAACTCCCAAACCCCCTAACCCCTAAATTCCCAAAACCCTAAACCCTGAACCCAAAACCCTACACCCCCTAAACCCCAAAACCCCTAAACTCCCAAGACCCCAAACCCCCAAACCCTAAACCCGAAACCCATCGAAAGCCTGAACCCTAAACTCCCAAAAACCCCACAAAACCCCTCAAAACCTCTCCAAAAAATCCCAACCCCCACCCCCAAAAAAAACCTGCAAAACCCAAAAACCCTCGGCCCGGAAGCACAACCCGGAGAACCCAATACACCATAATGCAGACATAGACCTTAAATTGTAGGGGCCTTGATATGATGATTTAAGGTCTATTCCTTACCCTAAGGGCCCATGTACTCAAATAG